AATGTAAATCAATGTTTGTCTCAAAATTAGTGTCAGGGGACCAGCAGTTAGCGTAATGGCTATGTCGCTGGACTCCCATGTAGTCGACCGCAGTTCACGTCCCGGGCCCGGTGGCTTAAAACTCACACCAGGCACGTGTGCGTGCGTGCCCAAGATCCCGAGAGGAGAATGGAGGAGAAGGGATTGCAGTGTGGCCATCCCCTTGGGGGGGTGATTTCTCACTTTCTGTCTTTGTCTCTCTCTGTCTGGTGAGCGCACGAGCCCTATAGCAAAAACCTCTCCAAAAAAAAAAAAATATTAATGTCAGTATAATTCGTTTTTCTTTTCTTTTTTTCTTGAGTCCTGGAGTTCCAGACTTGAAAATCATGCTCTGGGGTCAGCAGGCAACATGGTGGTTGGGGCACTGGACTCCCACATGGCTGACTGTGGTTCGATTTCCAGACCTGGCGGCTTGCTTTCTCACTTTCCCTCTCTCTCTCTGATCAAATTAAAAAATAACAATAATTAATAAATAATTAAATTATTCTAAAAAAACAAATCACACTGTGCATGTTTGTATTTGTGTGCCCAAAATTCTGAGAGGAGAGTGGAGGAGAAGGGACAATGGCTTGGCCATTCCCTCTGGGGAGTGATTTCTCACTTTCTCTCTCTCTGTCTCTGTCCAGTGAGTACATGCACCTATGGCAAAAACCTAAGAAACAAACAAAAATTTTCAAAATGTTAGATATTTAATACATGTATTCATAGTTCTTAAAATTCTCCACAAATTACTAATTATAGTCCTTAAAGTTGTTTTTCACTATTTGTCAAAATAGTTTCAATCTAAAATAGTTATCTAAAAATAAACTATTTAAAATAAGTAATTTTCCAAAATAGCTTTTTATTTGTATTTATAAACAGTACGAAAGGGACTCACACACTATTACTATATTTCCTCAGTTCAATCACAATTTCTTCATTCACCCAACTTCTCTAACCCACAGAGAATACTAAATAAAAATAAAATGCTCTAGTCCTAAGCTTCATGGCACCAAAAGACAGTCTATTCCTTATAAAACACTTCATTTTCCCACCCCATGTCTCAGCTACTGTAGATCCCATCTTCCCAGGGTACACGCTGCCTTCGTACTTATTATTTCCCACAGTTCTCAGCAGAGTGCACACCATAGGCAAATGCGGATTGACAAAATACAGATTTGGAGGTTATATGTAGAGAAGAGAGGAAATAAAAGAGGCTTTTGGGCTGGCCCCATGGCCTACGGTTTACAGAGCTGACTCCCACATGGGCAACCACCAAGCTCAAATCTAAGAATTGGCAGTTTGAAAAATATGCTCGGTGTGTGTGTGCATGCATGCCCAAATCCCGACAGGGTAGAGAAACGGAGAAGGGATAGTGCGTTACTGCGCTCTGTTAGGGGAAGCTTCCTCCCACTTCCTTACTCTCTGGCTAGTACAAGCACCCTTCAGGGAAAAAAAAAAAAGGCTTCAAAAGAGCATGTTGAGGGGGCAAATAAGTGGCATGGTAGTTAAGGCACTAGACCACCATATAGCAAACTGTGGTTTGAGTCCCAGATCCGACGGCGTACTTTCTCACTTTCTCTCTCTCTCTCTCTCTCTCTCTCTCTCTCTGGTGAGTGTATGTGACCTATTGCAAAATTAGGAGGAAAATAATTTATTAATTCAATGAAATAAATGATTCTTTTATAAAAAAAATAAAAGAACATATTGATTTTATTGATTTTAAAGCCCTTTTGGTGTGGCAATTAGGGGCACTGGACTCCCACATGGTCAACCAGGGTTTGAGTCCAGGACTGGGAAACTTACTTTCTCACTGTCTCTCTCTCTCTCTCTCTGGCTGTCTCTGGTGAGCACATGTGCTCTGCAGCAAATTAAAAAGCCTTAATAATAATAAATAAAATTTTTAAATTCTTATTAAAAAAAACATAAAAATATAAAGCCCCATTTGGTTTGCTGCTATATTTTCTAACTAAGAACACAGCCTAACACATAGTAGGCACTCAAAAAAGATTTGTTGAAGACATTTTCAGTTTAAGTGTAGAAGTTCTGAGACAGGTCATTCTCTCTCTTCTAACACCATGAAGGTACACTAAAAACTATAGCTTCCCCCTTTCCTTCTATTCTTAAAAATGTTTTCCATATAATACACTAAGGTTGTTCAGTACTAGGGATTCTATTCATTATTTGGCTGTCGGAGAAGTCATGATGAACTTTTTTCTCTGTTTTTCTTTGCAAAAATGCATCATGACTTTTCTGACAATCCAATAAAATAACCAAGTTATAACAAAAATCAACTGTTTTTTTAAAACTTCTTTATTAATTAATATTTATCTATTTGTTTTGATTTTTTAAGCCCCCGGGTCCAGGACTCAAACCATGGCCAGCCATGTGGGAATCCAGCACCTTAACCATTGTACCACCTGCTGGCCCCCAAAATCAACTGTTAACCTCTACATAGTGACCAAATATTGGAGACAAGTTTAGGGATGTACCATCCAACTTGTTTTGGCATCACGCTTTCTAGGGTAATCATAAATCCAGCACAAATTCCAGGCTCATTAGCAGGCCATCTGAGCATGCACACAGGGAAGCAGAAGAGTACTAAATTCCTCAGGAAACCGCTTCAGCACAACAGCAATGATGCTTAAAGCAGGCCTTTACACCTGCTGCTTCCATATCTTGGTTTCATTAACACTTTCAGAAATGACCTCAGACCTAATCCTGCAGCTTTGGACATATTTTAGAGGCAATAACCATGGTGAGATTAGAACCTTCTATTCATGCCTTATAAAGAAATGCCTCTCAAATCCTCACACTCAACCAGGCCCTCAACTACCTCACATTTCTTTCCTCTTAAGATGTTGACAGGCCAGGGAAGATACCGAATCCAAATAACGGCCATGACACCAAATCTTTAACACCTATTTCAGACCTAGTCCACCTTTTACCTCTCCTTCACATCCAATATAAACTGCTGAATTCACCTAAGCCTATTGACAATGTATAAGTAGCCCCTATTTTGCTTTAAGAAATGTCCGTGTTTCTAAAAAGTCTAGAATTTAACAGGGCTAACCATTTTAACAGTCCCATGAATTTCCAATTAATCAACTTTTACTGTATAGCTATTAAAATCAAGAGAATACACTATAAAGGTCAGTAATTTAGAATAGCTATTAAATAGTCTTTAATATGTCCCTTTAGAATCATCTTTCTCTCTCCTTGCTTTCCTGATACACTGTAAATACAACTAGAAATTTTATAGCTTGAAAAAATTGAACTTGGTTTAAAAAAAACTTACTTTAAAAAAAGTATACATACATATTTCGCAATCTGTATGCCCATCAAATGGACACTGTGCCGTTTGTAAGCAGACACTGTAAGATTAAGTGTCTAATGAACAGATGACTAAATCATTGATGGAAAATCAAAAAAAAACAAACAAACAGAAATCAGAGCACAAGATAGAGAATTCAGAGTTATAAAGAGACCTTAGACCTCTTACTAATAAAATATCTGGGAATTTGTCAGCGTTTCATTAATAAACAATCAGCGTGATAAGCATGTGTCAGGTGAGACAGAGGTGGATTTTGAACTGACACCTGACTCTGTCTCCAATTACAAAGAATGTATCACCAGGTGTTCTGGAATGTTTGCCCCCAGTCTACCATTAGTGACCATGTTGACCAGATTCCTGCCAGCCAGAAAAGCTACTCTATCCTGTTTCCGGTTTGCCTTGGAAGTGTACAATCATGTTCACAGAAAGAGGAACAGTAATGGTAAGATGACCCGGCCTCCCTCTCCTGCTGGTGACCACGGCAGGCTCTACTGATCCAAGGATGTAACCTAAGCTTGCACAGATGGCCCAGCTCTCTGCTTCTGTGTTCAGGGTGGGTGCTGCAAAGCACCAGGTATATTTATAGAAGGGAGCAAGAGCAGGATGAAAGGGGGATGACAGAAGACGAAGTTTCTTCCATCCAGTAGAGAGGCAGCCTGTAGAAAGGCTGGATCCCACAGCCAAGGTTGGACTCCCGACTCGTCAACTAGCCGCTATATAAACTTAAGAAAACCCTTTTTGGTCTCCTAGGTATAAAATGTAGACACGGCCTCTTGCCTCGGATGGCTGTCAGAATGACGAACAAATACTCTGTAGGTAAAATGAGGGACGTGGTAGGCATTCAATAAATGTTAACCCGTGCTCCCCATTCTCCTGTTCACCAAAATTGCGCCTTGAAAATCACAAACATAGCCTGCAGCGTCAAAACTAAGAGGCCCAGGCTGGTTGGCAGGAAAGGAAACGACCTGGGTGGAGGCTCGCTTCTTTACCGGAGGACTTCGCTTAAAATGGAGCTAGAATATTGATAAGGGGGAGACACATGGTAAAGGCATCAAGTACGAATGAGCGACACTGGCAACAACAGCAACAAAAAGACATCCCTTTATATAAGCACGAGAAACAAACTTCGGAAGCTGCGGATATCCGGCGAACCTCCTCGGTGGCCTCAATTAAAATCCCGAAGGCACGTAGCGCTAACCCGGAGGCACACCATCCACAGGCAGCCTCGTCCGCTTCGGGCCATGCTCTTCTGCACAACTGCCCTCTCCAGGCTCCAAACTGCCTCCGATGGGTTTGGAAGCCAGGAGCGAGCAGCAGAAGGGGCCGAGATGGGAAAGTGGGAAGGTCTGGTCAAATGTCTGACAAACAAGGCAGTGGGTGAGGGGGCGGGGTGGAACAATGTGGGGGGGACGCCGCCAGCGAGCCTGAAAGACCGCGGCTTCACAATGAAGGAAGAGACTGCGACAGGCGCCAGCTCCAGGTCCCCGGTAGCGACTGCTGGCGAGGCCCGGGGCGCGCAGAGCGTGGGAAGACGAACGGCGGGAGCGGAATGAAGCCAGTGAGGAGTCGCTAGCCAGGCGGAGAAGCCCAGGAGCGCCCGAGCAGGTGCACAGCATCCAGAGGGAAGGACAGGGCTCGGGATACTCACGGTGTAGAGGAGGTTAAGGGCGCACAGGCAGTTCTTGGAACACGCGAAGCCCCCACAAACCATCTTGGAGCCTGTGGCTGTAGGCAGCTGCAGGTAAACTCCGCCCCCCTGGAGCCTCCCGGGCAGCCGCT